GATGCACTCCTTGAGTACCCTGGGGAGACTGGTCATCACATGACTGAAGCAGCCCGTGACTTGGTGACTTCGGGAAACCCGTGGGTGGCACTCACAACAGAGCCAAGAGCTGTCTGAGCCAGAGCATTCTGATCAGGGCGGGTCCCACTCTGTTCTGAGACCTCTCCTATAGACAAGTGACAACACTGAATCCCATGACAGGTTCTTTGCAACCTTTCTGGATTGGTCCCTAACAGATAACTTATAGGTGGCTGTGTAAGATCATAAATGGGCCAGTGCAAAGATGGGGGCAGGCAACCTCTTTCCGAGGGCCACAAAGCTGTCCAGACTGACGGAGATATCCAGGTCCTAACTCTGTCACTGATAGGCTGTCCTGACGGAAAGGTGAGTCACGCTCTTGTCTTCACAGAGCAGGATAACCCCCCCCCCCCCCCGCTTCAACATCAGGTGAGTGTACAAGGCTGTACAAAGGCTGTTCTAATCGCCTGGCTGCTAGGAGGACCCAGGGCAGCACCTGCCAGTCACCAGGCACACTGGTCCCTAAACCTGCCCCATCCTTTGTCTGCCTCATTCCTGCTCACTCAGAGAGGGTACAAACCTACAAATATAAAAGAAACAGCCTGGCAACGTGGAAGGCACATCTCTCTTCTGTTGCCAGGGGCAGAGGTTACCCAGTAACAGCAGCCTCCCTGTTGGCCCCCAAGAGAGCACACATATTCAGATGGCCGACTGCCAAGGAAGCTCAGGACTCCAGGATCAGAAGCAAAGGAAATAATACAGTCGAAGGCAGCCATGCTTAAATGAGCTCAAATGAATGTCAGAGCAGATGGAGCAATCCTCAGGGGCACTCCGGATACACGTGAAACTTCCCTCACTCGGCACTGTTGCAGGCATGTGAGCAACTGTGTGTCCAAGGAGTGACAGGGAAATGCCTGCCTTGCGGTTTGGAATTCTACTCCAGGTATGGTCACTGACTGGACAGAGCGCAGGACTTTGTGTGTGTGTAGTTTTGAGTCAGGGTGCCTCGCTGTGTAGCCCAGGCTAGCCTCAGGTTTGCAATCTTCCTGCCTCAGCCTGTCAAGTGCTGGGATTACCATGTGTACAAGCCCTCTGGGAGTTTTTACACACGCTTGCTCTTTCCGAACCACACCACACCGTTTATCATCTTGGAAATCGGAGGTCCTCACATTCAGATCCCTAAACTTCTCTGTGCAACCAGCGACAGATGGAGAAGAGCCAGTGTGACTGTCCCTTCAGGAGGGCCTCCATAAATCCAGTCCTTTTGAAACTTTTTGTCTTGAAACACACACAGCCTTAATATGTGGAGCTCTGAATAAGAATGGCCCCCACAGGCTCATAGATTTGAAAGTTTGGTCACCAGGAAGTGGAACTACTTGAAAGGATTAGGAGGTGTGGCCTTTTGGAGAAAGTGTGCCACAGGGGGTGAGCTCTGAGGGTTCAAGTCCATGCCAGGTCACCACCGCCCCCCACGCTTATGGATCAGGATATAACTCTTAGTTACTTCTCCAGTGCCCTGCCTGCAGCCATGCTCCCTATCATGATGACAATGAACTAAGACTCTGAAACTGTAAGCAAGCCCCCCAAAATGCTTTCCTTTTTAAGAGTTGCCTTAGTCTTTGTGCAATAGAACACTGACTAATACAATATGTTACCCAGGCTGGCCTTGAACTTGAGATCCTCCTGCCTCAGTTTCCCAAAAAGATGACATTGCAAACTTCTGCAACCAGGCCAGGCTTAATACTGATTATCTTCAGGAACAGATGCCAGAGACTTGAAAGGAAAGGCTGGTACCTATCACCTAGTCCCTCAAAAACAGATACTTAGGTGTATATAGTAAAAATACACAAATACGGTAACCAGGTTGCAGTTTTTCTTTTTCTTCTTTTTTTTTTTTTTTGGTTTTTCGAGACAGGGTTTCTCTGTATTGTCTTGGAGGCTGTCCTGGAACTCGCTTGGTAGACCAGGCTGGCCTCGAACTCACAGAGATCCGCCTGCCTCTGCCTCCCAAGTGCTGGGATTAAAGGTGTGCGCCACCAACGCCCGGCTCAGGTTGCAGTTTTTCAATGAAGCGTCAAGTAGCCAAGGACGATCTTCAACTTCCGATCCTCCTGCCTCAGCTTCCTAACTGTTGAAGTTAGAGGATTTATACCATCATGGTGATCACAACCCAAGCCTTGTGCATGCTAAGCAGGCATCCTGTCAAGTGGGCTGCATCCCTAGTGCCACCGAGCTCCTTGGGAACAATAATGCCTGTGTCACCAGATCCAAGGAGCAGACCACCACTGCCAATAGCATTTCTGGGGAGAGTCCCCAGCAGGGTCTCAGTCAGGACCGGATGCTCTGACATCCAAGTGTTTCTGAAACAACCATCTGGCCACCAGCAGTTTCCCACGGCCTCATTAAGAATGCCCTGTGCAGGATGGCATGTGAGGGGGAGACCCAGAGAGTGGGGTCGGTGTGTGGCAGCTGACAAAGCAGAAACGCACCGAAAGTCAGAAAAATAACCACTGGGCCAGGGCCCTCATTGTATGGCTGAGGAAGGCAAAGGCACTTCCCATACCACCTGGCCACACGTGCTGAGAGCCCAGAGGCGGCTTCCTGGCTTCCATCCCACCTGAGATGAAGCACAGGTTTCCAGGGGCTCAGTAGCCCGGACCACAGTGCTGGGAATGCTCTAATTCCTTCCTTGACAGCACTAGCTTCCAGGTCCCAGCTGTCTGCAGCTCCACCAACACCTGCATCGCTGCTGACTCTGTCTCCTAGTTTTACATCTCTACCCTACGGCACTATGCACCTCACCCTGAATCAGATTTCCAGTGACACCCAGTTATAAAGGGCCTTGAAGCTGGGGAGCACAAAAGTCACCCCACATGAGAACCAGGGAGAGACTCTGAGATGCACATGTGGCGAGTCCTGCTTCCTCATGGGCACGACATTCCTGTCCTGAGCTGATGTCTCTGGGGCGCAGTCACCCCGAGTTCCCCAGGTGTCCTAAAGAGTCTGTTTGCCATGGCCGGCATTGTCCTAGAGTCAATGTTGGCACAATTAAAGCTGCGTGGATGAGGGGCACACCCCTTTAATCCCAGCACTTAGGAGGCAGAGGTCATCCAGTCTACAGAGTGAGTTCCCAGGACAGCCAGGACTACACAGAGAGAGCCTATTTCAAAAAAAAAAAAAAAAAAAAAAAAAAAAAGCACTGTTGCACTGTTTTCTCTTCCAGGACCTGGGTTAGGATCAACATGATGACCCACAAATATCTGTAACTCTAGTTCCAGGAGATTCCACGTCCCCTTCTGGCCCCTTTGAGCACCAGGTACGTGCAGGCAAAACACCCATACATACAAAATTAAGCTTTTTAAAAGCTCTTAAGGGTCAACAAAAAGGTTTAGCAGGTAAACTGCATGCTCCCAAGACTGACGACCCGAGTTCAGTCTCTCGGTTCCACACAATATAGAGAGAGCACTGAGTGTCAAAAGTTGTCCTCTGATCTCCAGCGCACAGTAGCATGATTGTCCCCACAAGTAATTACAGATAATTGTGGTGGTTTGAATGTAACCGGCTCCCTTGAGCTCATAAGGAGCGGCACTGTTAGGAGGCGTGGCTTTGTTGGAGTGGGCGTGGCCTTGTTGGAGGAAGTGTGTCACTGTGGGGGTGGGCTTTTGAGGTCTCCTATGCTCACACTGTACCCAGTTCACAGTTCACTTCCTCTTGTCTGTGGATCAACGTGTGGAACTCAACTCCCTCTCCAGCTCCATGTCTGCCTGCAAGTTGCCATGTCCACCATGATGACAATGGACTCGACCTCTGAAACTGTGAGCCAGCCCAGTTATGGTGGCGCACATCTTTAATCCCAGTGCTGGAGGCAGAGGCAGAGGCAGGCAGATCTGTGTGAGGTCAAGGCCAGCCTGTCTCGGAAAAACAAAACAAAACAAACAAAAAGAGAATTGCCATGATCGTGGTGTCTCTTTACAACAATAGAAACCCAAACTAAGACAATAATTTTAAAAATTGTATTCTTTTAAAAAATATTTTGTGGAGGGCTGGGCGTTGGTGGCACACGCCTTTAATCCCAGCACTCGGGAGGCAGAGGCAGGCGGATCTCTGTGAGTTCGAGGTCAGCCTGGTCTACAGAGTGAGTTCCAGGGCAGCCTCCAAAACAATACAGAGAAACCCTGTCTCGAAAAACCAAAACAACAACAAAAAAAATATTTTGTGGATAAGTTGTTTTACCTGCACTTGTATATATAGCCATATCATACCTAAAGTCTGGAGAAGCCAGAGAGGGCATCAGCTCCCCGAGAACTGGTGTTACAGATGGTTGTGAGCTATTATGTGCGCACTGGGAACCAAACCTGAGCCGTCTACAAGAGCAGCCAGCTCTCTTAACAGCTGAGCCGTCTCTCCAGCCCTAAAAACATTTTTTAAGTACTTAGCTACTTCTCCTTCAAGGAAGGAGATTGCCCAAACCTCAGAGTCCTACTTCTACCTTGGGAACCAGCCTTGACCCCTTTTTGGAGGAACCAAGGCTGCCTTTCAGAGTGGGGAGAAAAAACTGCCAAGAGCCCTGGGCAAACATTGGAGGCCCAGAAGGCAGGCGGGCCTGAGAGCACACACTGCGCAGGACTCTACTCCATTCTTCTAGGCTGGCAGGCGCTGGCAGAAACCCTGCCTGTTTCCTCAGAGTCACCAGTGCTGTGTGCCAGGCTGATGTGGGGGAGGGGTTTCTCCAAGCCTCTGGGTTCTCATTCAGTTCTCCTTTCCAATCTCCACTGAGCCTACATGACCTCATGAGTGCTTCCCCCACCCAGGCAGTGTGTCGCCAGAGGAAAATGGCCACCAAGGTCACTGCCTAAATGCAGTGATAATCTGGAGGACATGGCGGAGACCTCTGCCTCCAGTCCAAGGCCCCGGCAATGCCATGGTCTAGTCAGACACGTTACAGGCTGAAAACACCAACACAGGAGCGAGGAAGCCCGAGCTACAAATCGTGATTCTTTAAGAATAGGAGAGCGGGTTTGAGGTACACATCCATCACTGTAATCATGATTCTTTAAGAATAGGAGAGCGGCCGGGCGGTGGTGGCGCACGCCTTTAATCCCAGCACTCGGGAGGCAGAAAGAGGCAGGTGGATCTTTGTGAGTTCAAGGCCAGGCTGGACCGATAGCCTCCGAAACAATACAGGGAAACCCTGTCTGGCCACTGTGTGGTGTTACTGACGGGACAGGTGTGGAGACAGGAGCTTGGTCTGAGAAGGTTAAATGCAGGGGATCCATCTGTGGATCCCTTCTTCCTTTCAGCAGGTTTGGCGGCTTCGAGTCTCAGCAGCCTCTAAACACACAAAACGAAGAGCTTGAATGAGGCTGGGGGATGTGGCTCAACGGGCAGGGATCCACCCCCAGAACACTTAAACCGGGTGAGGTGCTCCATGCGTAGACAGGGGGTCAGAAGTTCAAAGTCATCCTTGGCTACGTAGTGAGTTCAAGGCTCACGGCCAACAAGGACTTCATGAGACCATCTAAGGACAAAAGCGAAGAACCTGAGCTAAAACTGGTCGGTGACCCATGACTTCCAAAAACTCCTAAGGTGGGGATCTTGTGGGTTTCAAATGCGCACAGTCCCTTCCTTGTTCTCCCTGGCTATGGGCTACTTTGTCTTAGTTCCCACTACTAAACAGCCGGCTGGGGAAGAGAACAGACTGCAGGAAACACATGCATTCTTCCCTGTGTGCTCCTGCAATGTTTAACATTCACAAGCAAGAGGAGAAGATAAATCACAGATACGGAAGATGGAGGAGACCGAAGCAGGGCCACCTGGCTAGAGGGCAGGGGACGCGCTCAGGTCCCCAGGTGAAACATCACTCTCCCGTCTCACATTCAAGACATTCACTCACACACAGGAGGCAGCCAGAAGGATGAGCGGGAGGACGGCCTGGCAAGGAGCATCCACTCACTAACCAGAACTGCTGCCTAGGCTGGACCAGAAGGCCAGTTCCAGGTAATGGCTATTCTATCCACACTGCAGGACAGGTTCCAACCGCCATGCTGGGGAGCCCCACTGCCGACCAGAGAGGCCACCTGGGAGAACTGTGCAGCAGACAGGAGGGCCCCAGTGTTTCCAGTGGAAATGGAGCACTGTCAGTGATGAATCGTGAGGCAGAGACAAGCACTACCCAGGAGATGATCTGCCTCGAAGAGGCCAGGATGGACAAGGCCTCAAGTGTTCTGTGACAGGGTGGGAAGGACCACAATGTCACGCGGCTTCAAATAGAAACCTGCTGTCACAGAAGCGTCACATAAAAAGGGAAGTATGTTGTAAGCCGCTGGGCAGGGTTCAGGAAAAGCAGGGAACACTTGTCTCACATTTGTCCCTGGGCCTCATGGGGTGACCTCCAGGGTCAGAGCCTGCGCACACACTATGCGATTCCTGCCTGGAGGTCCTGGGGTCCTCCACAGCCTCTTCTGCAACCAAAGAGAAAGAGCCACGGCCAGAACCACGATTCAGCAGAAGGGAGAGGGAAGCCCCTTGCTTTGGAAAATGTGTGTGTGGCTATTATGTTATTTAGCTCTTCACCCGGGGGTTTCTAGAACATTTTCCCTGGAAGCAGACAGAACCAAACTATTGATCTAAAGCAGCAGGCCAGGACTGTTACTCATTTTCAGTGCGCTAGCAGGGTGAAGCTATCTGAAGGGGTTGAAAAGTAGGGAAAGGCCAGATTCGACAGCACACGCCTTTAATCCCAGCACTTGGGAGGTGGAGATAGGTGGATCTCTGTGAGTTCAAGAATGAATACCAGGACAGCCAGGGTAACATAGAAAGAAACCTGTCTAAAAAAACATAGAAAATCGGGGAAAAGCTCACTCTTCTGGGCAGCCTCTGTGGCAGCAATGCTCAGCTGGGCTGGGCAACAGCTGCAGAGTGGTCGTTGGAGTCCCCTGAAGTCTGGGGGCCTAGGGGAGGGGCCTCAGGTCGATGGCACCCATGTGCTGGAAACAGACCGTCTCTGAGCTTCATTTAGCAGGCAGCAGAGTCTACCTCAAACCAAGCGGGTGAAGAAGCAGGCCAGACAAGCAGCCACTGTGCTACCATCGATGTATTATGAATTAATTTGCCCTGTTCAAGGAGGAGACACAGGACAGTTACTTTTCATTACACACTTGAGATAGCTGGGACTTTATTATTAATAAAAACAATAATCATGATAATTTTGAAGGTAGGGTATAGGCTAGTTTTAATTTCATGGCAGTTTTCCTGTCCTAACCTGCCCACTGCTGACTATTTGTGTTTTTATTGTTTAATTTTTTTCCTTTTTTTTTTTTTTAGTCTTGTTTTGATTTTTGAAACAGAGTCTCATGTAGGCCAGGCTGACTCTGAACTCTCAATGTAGCCAAGGATGATCTTGAATTTTGGATCCTCCTGTTTTTACTTCCTGGTGTTGGGATTAAAGGGGTGCCCTCTTCCACATAGTTCTGGGGATCTAGTCCAGGACTTTATGCATGCTAGGCAAGCAGCCTACCATTGAGCTACACCACCAGTCCATATCTGTGTTTTCAGGGGGTGTTTGGTGCATATGTGTGTGGTATGGTACATCTGTGGTGCATGTTTTGTGGTGTGTGTGGTGCATGTATATGTTGATGCATGTGGTGTGTGTGTGTGTGGTTCTTGTATGTGTGATACATATGTATGAGAGAGAGAGAGAGTGGAATGTGTGTGTGTGTGGTGCATGTATGTGTGGTAGATATGTATGTGTGTGTGTATGGTGCATGTGCTGTGTGTGTGGTATGGTATATGTGTCTGTGGTGCATGTTTGTGTGGTATGTATGGTGCACATGTGTAGTGTGGTGCATGTGGTGTGTGGGGTGTGTGTGTGGTACATGTGTATGTTTTCAGAACATGTTATTTAGCACAGTGTCACAGGCCTGTAATGCCAGGGAGGTGCTGTTACAGGAGGTTGGCCTCCTAGAATACAGTGAGTTTCAGGCCAGCTCTTCTCTCTTCCTAACTCAAGAAAATACTTTTCTTAGAATAATTCTTTCTTTTCTCCTTCAGGAGCGATCCTTGCTGAAGCTAACCTCTTTATCATACTCTGCCGTAGGCCCATGCAGCACTGGATAGAATCTGAAATGGGCTTAGATAAGATTTGACTAAATACTCCACATCTTTTTGTTTTTGTTTTTGTTTTTCAAGACAGGGTTTCTCTGTATTGTTTTGAAGGCTGTCCTGGAACTTGCTCTGTAGACCAGGCTGGCCTCAAACTTAGAGATCTGCCTGCCTCTGCCTCCCGAGTGCTGGGATTAAAGGCGTGCGCCACCACCACCACCCAGCTTAACACTATACATCTTTTACTGTAAAGTTGCTTCCATGTGGATGCACCTTCCTATGGCTTAGGACAGTGGTTCTCAACCTTCCAAATGCTTCAACCCTTTAATACATTTTGGTGATCCTCCTCAACCATAAAAGTATTTCGTTGCTACTTCATAACTGTAATTCTGCTACTGTTATGAATCATAATGGAGACATCTACTATGCAACCTGTGAGTGGGCTGACCCACAAGTTGTGAACTGCTGGCCTAGAGAGAGGACCAAGGGAAGGTACTCAAGAAACTAAATATGTTTCACCACCATGTGATTCACGGTGCCACGTTCACCCCACAAACCTGACTAACATAGAGACGCTGTTCAATGCACACTGGGCCACTACAGGCCTGGTCACATCCTGAAAATGCTCCCCAGCCCACCTTGGCAGGGACTTTTCTGGGTATACCCACATGTCCATATATAAACTGCTGCCTGTGGGCCAGAATGTAGCCTACCTACATATTTGTATAAAGGCTTACTGAAATGCAGCCTCACCCGTAAGCTGGTTGCTTTGGAGCAAAAAAAGGAAAGAACTGGGTAATTTCAGAGAAGACTAAACAGCCTGAAAATATTCGTCACCTGATCCTTCAGGAAGTTCACAGGAAACAGGTCACGGTGCCCCAGGTCTATAACTGTAGCTATTTTGGAAGCTAAGGCAAGAAGACACAAGTTCAAGGGCAGCCTGGGCAATTTAGTTTGAGCCTGTCTCAGAAAGGGAACACTCAGGATACAGCTCAGAGGGTAGCGCATCTGCCCAGCATCCAAGAGGCCCTGGGTTCAATACCCAGCCACCCACAAAGCAGGGTGTGGTGATGCCCGCATGTAATTCCAGCACTAGGGAGGGGGAAATCAAAAGTCCTCAGAGATCATTTTTGTCAGCCTGGGCTATCTAAAAAGTTTAAGGCAAAGTAAAATAATGAAATTAAAAAGGGCTGTGGCCATGGGTCATGGTAGAGAGCTTATAGAGCATGCACCAGGCCCTACACCCCAGCCCCACCACAGGGGAAAAAGACAAGAAACGCTACAAGTCTCAATGGCCGCCCAGATAGTATTTTGGTCTAGGCATGTGGTGCCTACCACACATTGCATTATCGTATGGAACTCAGTTCCCATTATAGTATCAGGAGCAGAGTCTGACTGGTGAGGTCAACAGAGGCTTCATTGTCTGCTAGGGTCCTTATGCCCAATGACAAATCCCGAACCCAGAGCCTGTGTGCCAGGCTGTATGGCTTTTCCAAGGTGCACATTCTAGCCTCATGTCAGAGCCCTAGATACTTTTGAGATTGGCCCGTTTCCCGTTGTCCTCAGAAGACTACCTAAGGGTCCCACTTCTTTGGGGGAAGTTCCTTCTAGCCCGAACGCCTACTTCTCTCTTTCTGAGAATTCCAGCACTTTGTCAAGGCTTAGTTAAGGCCTTCCTCTCTCAACCAACACAGAGTCTTTTGGAAGACCACAGTTGCTGCTTGAAAGGTTTATTTTCATTATTTTTGTCAACGTGCGTCTCTGTGGGTGGGTATGCGCACACAGCGCAGGTGCCCGAGAAAGACAGAAGAGGGGGTTGGGTCCCGTGGAGTCACAGGCGGTAGCGAGCTGCCCAATGTGGGTGGTGGGGTCCCAGCTCAGGTCCTCTGGAAAAGCTGCCAGTGCTCTTAGCCATCCAGCAATTTAAGTCTCTCTTTCTATCATGAGTTGTGGGGATTGAACCCAGGCCCTACAGTTTGCATACCAGCTCACGCTTGCAAGCGCCTTTACCGGTTACACCATCTCACCGGGCCTGCCACTGCTGGTGCTTACAGCACAGATGAGACAAGCCTGCAGAAGCTCGGCGTCTCCTGTGGGAGCCGAACTCGTTTCCTTGCTGTCCTGAGGTGGAATCTCACTGCACGGCTGCAGCTGCCTTCAAACCACGTAGCCCTGACTAACATCCTGACTCACAGTAAGTCTTCACAGTAAGTCTTCTAGAAACAGAACCTTTTTATTCTTTCTTTTTTTCACTATGTAGCTCTGGCTGTCCTGGAACTTACTGTGTAGACCAGGCTGGCCTCAGGCTCATAGAAAGCAGCCTGCCTCTGCCTCTGCCTCTGCCTCTGCCTCTGCCTCTGCCTCTGCCTCTGCCTCCCGAGTGCTGGACAAAGGCATGCAGTCACTATGCCCAGCTAGAAGCAGAAAGAGCCTTAAAGGAGGCAACGCATAGTGGTGCGCACCTTTAATCCCAGCACTGGGGAGGCAGAGGCAAGTGGATCTCTGTGAGTTCAAGGCCAGCCTGGTCTACAGAGCAAGTTCCAGGCCAGCCTTCAAAGCCACAGAGAAACCCTGTCTCGAAAACCAAAAAAAGAAAAAAGAAAGTAAGAGAGAGGGGGGAAGGAGGGAGGGAGGAAGAAAATAAAAGAAAAGCAAAAGTAAGAAGAGGCCCAGAGAGATGGCTCAGTGGGTAAGGGCCTTGACTGACAACCTGAGTTTGATTCCTTGAACTCACATAGTGGGAGAGAATCAATTCTCGAAAGTCATCCTCTGACCTCCTCTCTCACCTGGCACGTATATGAAATAAAAGAGCAGAAAAGGAAAGCCAGTTAAATCTTTTCAAATTAGACAAGGCAAGAGTTCAAATAGTAAAAACTATACAGGTAGAAATAAATCTATTCTCATTGCCCACGTACAGTTTTCCGAGAGTACGAATTCTACCACCTAGCTTGGGACCCTTCTTGGTTTGTGATTCCTACTCCTACTTTTTGTTTCTGAGACAGGGTCTCACTATGTAGTCCAGGCTAGCCTGGGTCTCAGGATTCTGCTTTGGCCTCCTGAGTGCTGGGATGACAGACATGTACCACCACACCCAACCTTGTGAGACTGGTCCGTCTCCTCGTCCAGTCCATGTGCATGCCCTTGAGAGGTAGTCATTTCTACCCGGAATTGGAGCAGTGACCAATAGGCACAAGCCCCAACGCAAAGTATCCTAGTGTCACTCCGTCTACGGCTCACTATCCAAAAATACAATCCCAGGCACTTCAGGTCCTCAATCAGAACTCTGCAACCAGCTTTTTCCAAACTGCCATCCTGGAGTAGAATGTCCTGGGGACTCCCCAGCACGCTGAGCACAGCCGACTTGATCAGCAAGTGCTGGTCCTCGGTCTCTGACCTGAGGAAGGATGGATGCAGCGGGTTCCTTAGGGATGCTCTCTGTGCCGGGTCCTCCCCGGAGCCTTCCCGAGGTGTCACCGGCCCCTCTCGGGTAGGCAAGGCCGGGTCGGGCACCGGGGAGTTCCGAAGACGCTGACCTCAACTTTGTTTTTTTAAAAATAGCTCGGAGGCCGCGGCGCTCCCAGGAGCCGCCCGCTTCCCCTGGAGGGCTCGGGGTGGCCGGGAGGACGGTGACCCGCGATCCCAGCCACAGAGGCAAGCGACGGGGACCGGGGAGGGTCCCGGGCCGAAGGAGGCCGCTCACCTTCTTCACCGACAGGGAGATGTTCTCCAGGATTCGGTCCTTCACCTCCCGCGGCTCCATGGCTCCGCCACCGCCGCCCCGTCGCCGCTTCCCCCGCCGGGCGCCCGGGGCCGCCGCCAACCGCTGCCGCCGGCCGTGCGGGGGCTCCGTCGTGCCGGCCGCGGGCCCCGGCGCCCGCCGCCCTCGCCTCGCCTTGCCCGGGCCTCGCTCCGCCGCCCCCGGCGCCTCCCGAGCGCGGAGCCGGGAAGGAGACGCGGGCTGTGCGCGGCGGCAGGAACTGATGTCAGGCGGGGCGGCGCCAGCACCGGCCGGGAGGGACGGCGGGGTCCGGGCGGGCCCGCCTCCTCCGAGACCCGGGCCGGCGGAGACCGGGGGCTGCGGGGGCCTGTGAACTCCTAGACTCGGGGACTCAGGGATCCGGGGTCGCGGAGGCTCCTGGAGACCCGGGGGACTCGGACGGGACCACACAGACCCGGGGACTCACGCGGCCCGGACCACACAGACGCGGGACCTCATAGAGCCGGCACCGCATAGACCGGGGAACTCATGGACCCGGCACCGCTGACACTCGGACCTCAAACACCCTGGGACTCGGAGACCTTGTCATCCCCCTCCCCCCCACTCACTCCCGCACAACTCCTCAAAGACCCGGGGACTTAAGATCTCGGACCTCTCAGACCCCGGGTCCCCTCCCAACTCCTCAGAGACACCGCGTTATTCCTCGCCACCCCCGCAAGAGGACCTTGCACAGGCCTGGAAACCCCGCACAACTCATTAGAGATCTCCCACTCCCTTCCCAGCAACATTCAAAGACCCTCCTCCCACTCAGGACCAGCTCGGACAGCGCTCTCCCTCATTCCAAATCCCGCATTCCTCACCCTTGTCCCAGGGGACCCAGACATGCCCGCATACTTGAGAGATTCTAGAGACGAGGCCTGGCTAGTCAGGGACACCTACCCATCTCTTCCCAACCCCTCCATGCAAACCAAGGGTTCAGGGGATTTGGATGACTTAGACTCCAGCACCCAGACTTGGCCTTGACTCCAGAGCAAAATCCTTCTTTCTTCCCAAGACTCCATCACCCTCAAAAGTCCAGTCCTCAACTTCAGGCCATCCCTGATGACTCTCCTACCTCCAAAGTAAACCCTTTTCCTAAGCAGCCTTCATACCTTTCTGTCCTGGCCAGTTTTATGGCAGCTCAACACAGGAACACAAGCTAGAGTCATCTGAGAGGGGGGGACCCTGGATGAACAAAAAGGCCTCCGTAAGATGGCTGTAGGCAAACCTGTAGGACATTTTCCTAATTAGTGATTGAGGGGGGAGGGCCCAGCCCATGATGTGGGGTGCCATCCTTGGGCTGGTGGTCCTGGGTTCTGTAAGCAAGCAGGTTGAGCAAACCACGGGAGAAGTAAGCCAGTAACATAGCAACATTCTTGCTTGGTGTCTGTGTCAGTTCCTGTCCCCAGGTCTGCCTGCCCTGTTTGAATTCCTGCCTTGACTTCCCTCGATGAACTGTAATTCAGGGTATGTAAGCCAAAAAAGGAAAAAGAAAAAGAAAAAAAGAAAAAGAAGAAGAAGAAGCTTTGATCATGGAGTTTCATCACAACAGTAGGAAAGTAACTAAGACACCTACACCCTATCTCACCAAGAGCTTCACTCCCTCAGTTCGAGACCCAGAACAACTCAAGGGATGCACACACCCTGCCCCAAACTCATCAACTCGGCCACTTCTCTAAGTTTGGTCCCCAAATAAACATATCCTCACAGAGTGATAAGTCCATTTCTTTTTCTTTTTCTTTGTGGTTTTTCGAGACGAAGTTTCTCTGTGGCTTTGGAGCCTATCCTGGAACTAGCTCTAGCCCTTGTAGACCAGGCTGGCCTCGAACTCACAGAGATCTGCCTGCCTCTGCCTCCCTAGAGCTGAGATTAAAGGCTTGTGCCACCACTGCCCAGCGATAAATCTATTCTTTAGACACCAAAATTCTCTTCTGGCTCTCTAGTTTTCAGTAGTGTGTACTCAGGCTAACTCGTCCCTACATTATCTTGGAGCACTAATTCTACAGTCTATGACCTGAGGACCGGAACATTTATTTCCCTGACCTCCAAAGAGAGCCCAAAGATGGTGGTAGTGCTACAGTTCTGTTCCTTGGGAGTAGATAAGGGGACAAAACAGACTCTGAAAACAGGAAGGAAATCTGGGGTCCCTGCATTCCTTACCACTTGGGGCTAGTTGGGCAGAGTCCCCAGTACTAGTCACGTTGAAACTGAATGTTAGCCAAGCAGTGCATACCTGTTATCAAAACCCTTAGGAAGCAGAGGCAGGAGATCAGGAGTTACAAGCCATTCTTAGCCACATTGTGAGGTGAGCTGTAGGCCAACCTGGACTATATGAGACACTTCCTCAAAACAAACAAACCAACCAAAACAAAACAAAACCCCAAGCAAAAACATTAGGCCATGCCTATAATCCCAGTGCTGTTTTTTTGTTTTGCTTTTTTTGGGGGGGTTGTTTTGGGTTTGGTTTTTCTAGACAGGGTTTCTCTGTGACTTTGGAGACTGTCCTGGAACTAGCTCTTGTAGAAGAGATCCACCTGCCTCTCCTCCCGAGTGCTGGGATTAAAGGCTTGCGCCACACTGCCCAACTTGTTTTTTTGTTTGTTTTGTTTTTTGAGACAAGTCTCACTCTGTGGCCCTGGCTGGCTTGAACTCATTGTGTAGACCAGGTTGGTCTTAAGCTCTGACTCCCTCCTCTTCCCCAGTGCTGTGATTAATGGTTTGTAGAACCACACCACTAGATACACTATCAGTTTTTGAGACAGGGTCTCACCCTAGCCCTGCCTAGCCTTGAACATGAGGCGATCCTCCTGCCTCAGACTCCAAGTACCGAGACACCACCGAGATCAATTTGAAGTAAGTGTTTCCCATATGACTCCAGGAATCACTTGGGTGTTTTTCTAACTCAGGACCCCATTTTATGTGGATTGTTCTAGCAGGTCACCCTAAGGGCTTCTTCTAACCTTTATGGAGAAAAGTCAAGTCTCTCCAGCAACTGATGCCAGCGAGTTTTTAAATTTTTATTGGATTCAGGAAAATAAGAGTCACCGTGGAATTGGGTAGAGGGTAAAACGGTTGGGAATCAAGATTGCATTTGTTGCGCAGGTAAAGAGTGAGGGCAGAGGACACATTACATAAATGATAAGAGAGACAGATGCTCAGAGGTGTTTGTGGCAATGAGCAGGAAGATCAGTCTGAATGAATGACTCCTCTCCCAGTCCTTCCTAGCCTGGGTGTCTGCAGGCCCCAACATTGAGAGTCACTCAGACCAAAAGCTATGTAGTTATTTCCTGCTGCTGAACATCAAGTTACCTGCTCAGCACCGTGTTCCAACAAATGCTTCTTCATGTTTTGAACTCAGGACAGATGCACATGCCCACGTTGAGGTGTGTGTGTATGTGTGTGTGTGCGCATGCCAGAGTTTACCATATCATGCTTAGGAACACTATCCACCCCTCCTTTGAGATACGGTCTCTCATTGGCCCGACACTCACCAATTAGTCTAAATTGCTTCGACATCCCCAGCGATGGGATTACAACGTATCACTATGCCTGGGAGGAGGGCGATGTCCTTACACAGGTAAGCGCTTTGCTGATCACTGAGACACCCCCAACTCCCCATCCCCTTTTGTTTGTTTTGAAAGAGTATTTCATATAGCCCAGGCTCTCCTTGAACTCCCTGGTGCTGAGGAATAAACTTTAACTTCTGATCGTTCCAGGGGCCGGAATGGCAGGCACATGCCATTACATCCGATTTATGTGGCAGTAGGTATGAGTCAGGGCTTTGGGTTGGAGAGATGACTCCATAGTTAGGAGTAGTGTTTGTTGTTTATAGAATACATGGAATTTTGTTCCCAGCACCCCTATTAGCTTACAATGACCTATAACCCCAGCTCCAGGAGGTCTGTACCCTCTTCAGAACTCCACATGTACAAGTAATTAAACAAAAACAACAAAACAAACAAACCAGATGTGGTTGTCTACACCTTGAATTCCAACACTAGGGAGGCAGAGGCAGAAGAATCTCTATTAGTTCAAGGCCAACCTGGTCATCTACATAGGGAGTCCTAGGCCATCCAGGACTACATAGTGAGACCTTTTTTGTTTGTTTTTCAAGACAGGGTTTCTCTGTGTAACAGTCCTGGCTGTCCTGGAACTCTCTCTCTGTAGACCAGGCTGGCCTCAAACTCACAAAGATCCACCTGCCTCTGCTTCCAGAGTTCTGGGATTAAAGATGTACACTACCACCACCCGGCTGACACCTTGTCTTAAAAGATAAAATAAATAAAAATAAAACACAAAAGAAACCAAGCCAGGGCTTCGTGCAGGATAGACAGACATTCTGCCAACTGAGCAACATGCCTAGCTCAACAGATACATTCGTTCTTTGGCTGTGTGTTGGGAAGTGTCCTCTGTGGAAGGTGGTGACATTTCTGCCATGCTGTTGCATCTGTACCCGTTGGGGGATTATGGTCCCAGACAACTTTTTACAGTTTTTGGAGGGACATATGTTCTCTGCCTACCAGCTTCCCAAGGTGTTCCGGGGTATGTGTGTGTTTAGGAGGACAGGGACATGCTTAGCCTGACAGGACTTCTTCTTCTTTTTTTTTTTTTTTTTTTTGGTTTTTCGAGACAGGGTTTCTCTGTGGCTTTGGAGGCTGTCCTGGAACTTGCTCGGTAGACCAGGCTGGTCTCGAACTCACAGTGATCCACCTGCCTCTGCCTCCCGAGTGCTGGGATTAAAGGCGTGCGCCACCAACGCCCGGCCTGACAGGACTTCTTGCTGAGAAGAACACACAGGTTCATGAGCAGGCCATTGCACCATGCTTGGAGTCTAAACACGGATCCACCCTGTCAAAAACAGGGTGCCTGGAGAGAAGGCTCAGCAACAGTCATTCTTCTAGAGGACCTGGGTTTGATTCCCAGGTGATTCACAAACA